ACTTCCTCAGGAGCAAAATGGCAACAACCACAGCATAATGATATGAGACAACACCTGGTATATAGCAAGTAATCAATAAGCGGTAGCTTTTCTAAATAATTATTATTTTTGAGATTTTCCTGTATTAAAGCTTATATTAGTATAAAGGGAAAGGGGAACAGCTTCTCTGGGAAACAGGAGGTCTAAGAAACAAAGACCCAGGGAGACTTTTAAGATGGCGCTCTCAGATACTTGTGGGGTGGGGGCCGGCAGGAGGGTTCCAACAGATTAGCATCAGGAAGGTTGTTGCAAAGACCTTACTTGTAGTGAGGGTATACCAGCACTAACAAGCTCATCTTTGGAGCAGGGACCAGAGTGAGTGTCCAGCCAAGTAAGTAGAGTGGAGCAAGGGTGGACATTGACAACTAATTCTTCTTTGTCCAAGATGCTGAGTTGAGCCCAGGTATTTTCTTCGGTAGGATGCCAAATGGTTCTTCCCACTCATCCCTCAAACATCCTCGCATCTAGCAATCAGTGCCCCGGACACATCCTTGGGCCGGGACCTTTAGAATCATGAGTCAGGTAATGAGCAAGTAGTCCTGGAGCTTCCACAAGAGGGTCCAGAATGACGCTGCCCTGAGCAGGGTCTCCGCTCCGCTAAATTCTTGGTTTACTGAAATCACAACCTCCAGCCCAGGGCACTATAGCAGGATGGGGCAGGAGGAAAAGGATCAAACCCGCCAGAGACAAAATCTCAAGACAACAGAACAGAAGGCCTGACTCGAAAGGGTGTGATTCTCCAGTCCTTATGGGAAGTCAGTGCTTCTCCTATTGAAGTAGGAGGTTGGACCAGTGAGTTTCTGTAATGGTGTCACCTGCAGTGTGCATACTGGAGGAGCGATTGGTAAACTTACATTTGGGAAAGGAACCCGAGTGTCCATAATATCTGGTAAGTCATCCCAGGAGGTGCTATTTGCAGCCCCGGGGGCCAGTGTCGCTAATCCTTCCCCGGAGGATACTGGTGATGACTACAGTGAGGCCAGCTGTGGGTGTTACAACTAATTGTCTTACACAGACCTCTGTGAAGGGAGAAGGAGTCATTATCAATCTTTAAAATCTGTGTCTCTCAAGGTCGAACACATTAAAATTTAACTCTAACTGTCCAATGGATATTTTTAAATGCCTTCCATGCGGACATCACTCTATAAAGTGTTAGATTGCGTATAAGATATCTAAGATAGATTCCTGACCTGTCCCCAAATAGTATAAAAACTAGCAAAAGGGAGAGAACAATTATAAATTCGGCTACCTAAAGACTATTTTAGTACTAACCGATTGATGATGTCAGTGGGTACATTAGAGATTCAGAGGAACAGGGTCCTGGCTGTAAAGGTGACCTCGACAGAAAAGGTTTGACGCAGTAGAAAGTGCTCATTGACCTGAAAGGTAGACAAGATCTGTATGAACAAAGAAAGAAGAGAAAGGGGTTTCCTGGCACAAAGAACAGAGAGAAAGAAAACATGATTTTGAGAATAAACAGGGTACATGTATTTAAGCCTAAGTAAACACATCTAATAATAAAGTAGGAAGGAGAGAAAGGCAAGAAAGGCTTTTCTTCTTAGACAATGAAGAAAAAGAATCCTGGAGTCTTCGAGAAAATATAGTCAAGGCCATGGCCAGCCTCCAGGAACTGGGAATCTAACTTAGAAATGCAGATGGGATGTGAAGGTGAGGGATAAGCTCTTTCCATGGACAGCTCATGGCCTAGGGGCCTCCCTCTCCTTCCTCCGTGGGCTGTGAGAGGCATTACCCCATTCCTCAGAGGAGGAGAAACCCGAGGTTTCTGTAATGGAGACACTGGGAGTGGTATGACGGTGCTGCCTCCCGCCTGCAATTTGGCAAAGGTACCAGAGTTTCCATTATTCCGGGTAAGCCTTCCCGAGAAGTGTAACTTTCCCAGCACTCACCTGGGCCTCAGTGAGTCCATTTCCCTGGCTCACGCTGCTGTGTTCCTAGTGTCTAACTACTAGGCACAGATTTGGTGGGAAGGGAGCTTTCAATCCCCGCTGGGGCCCTGGGGATCCGAAGCACTGGAGCTTCCAGACATATGCTTTTGTGATTGGTTCTGAATTAAAACGAAAGGTCAGGATCTGGAATAGCTGAACTTGCACACCGGAAAATTGGTCCAGTCTCGCTAAAGCTGCCTTGGAAGATATCATGCCTGGTGGGACACACTTATCTGGCTAGGCTGAACAGGACGCTTCTCTCCCCCAGGCAGATAGACTCCTAAAGTGCCACAAATTAAAAGTGACTCATTTCCTGTTTTTAGACAAACTATTACGGTCGCACCAGAGGCATGTGGGGATAATAGTAAAATGGGGCTAAAAATTCAAGTTTAAGGATGAGTGCCCAGCTTCTTTGACCAAAAAGCAGAAACTTGGCAAAAAATGATGGTCACTGGCCCATGCATTTATTCAACAATAGTTTCTCGAGCACCTAGCGTGTGGCGGGTACGAGGAACAGGCAGTACACCAGAGATGGACTTGGCGGTTGCAGCCGACATCCCAGGGAGCCCATCTGAAGAGCCTGGTGCAGCTGTGCTCTTTTCGGGCGTGGAGAGGACATGCGAGAGGAAATTCAAGGTCATGGCAGACCCTGCAAGTCGTGCCAAGAAGTGTGGTCGTTCCTCTCCAGGCACTAGGGAGTCCCTGAATTATTTAGAACAGAAAGTGACCGAATCAGCTCCATGTTTAGGCGAGTATTAATACTTGGGAAGATGAGCTCAGAGAGGAGACTAAGAAGTGGGGCAGAGGGAGAGGAGGAGCAAGAGAGTAAAGCAGAGGCAGGGAAGCCGGACGGGAGAAACAACAGCAAAAATGTAGATAGGAAAACCCAAAGGGTATCAATCATCCGGTAAAAACGGGATGTGAAAAAAGCCAAAAAATCACCTCAGCTCGTCTGACTTCATTTCTTGTTATTTTATGATGATCTCCCATTAGCAAAGCTGAGCCGGTGGTCTGCCCCGGCTGTAGTCACCACTCACAAACTGAAAGGGGGCTTGTAAGGCTCACACTCGGCCCCGCCGTCTCTCCTCAGAGCCCCACGTGCCGGGGCCGGGGCCGGACTCTCTGCAGACCAGCGCTGCCCAGCAGCGCTTTCTGTCCAGTGGCGTGTTCTAGCAGTCTGCACTGCCCAACACAGCAGCCGCTGCCGCATGGGGTTGTTGACCTCTTAAAATGAAGTTCTAGTTTTTAATTGAATTTTTAAGTTTATTTCATTTTGGTTAAATCTAAATAGCCACATGTAGCTAAAGACTATCATATTGGACAGTGTGGTCTTGACCTTCTCCAGCCTGATGATACCCGTTGGCTCTAGGGCGTAGGTGAGTGTTTAGCCAGGACTCAGAGTTGGACATATGGCCCCCACAGACATCCCCCAGCCCCCCTAAGGCCAAACTGCATCTGGTGGCACCTTGTCCTCTGCCTGCTCTTTGAGGCCACGTTCTCCAGCATCTCCCCACCCTTCCATGTCCCTCTTCCCAGTCCCGCCCATAACTCTCACTGATGACTGGAAAATCCACTGGGGTGTGTTGTGGGTGCTGATGGTTTCCCATCCCTCCCCTCCCAGGAAAAGATTTATGTCATAGGGCCTTAACCCACGGTGATGCCAGGCCCCACAGTGTGTGGAGGCTGGAGGGGAGCCGGCAGAATCCTCGGGGGCCAGCGATTTGGATGTCCCTCACAAGTGACCACGGGCCCAGCCCTGCGCTGCTGCTCCAGGGGTCGCCCCACCAGCAGGCCGTTCTGCCTTGACTCAGCAGCATCCCAAGCCCATGCCAAGGGCTGATTGCCCAAGTTTTGGGGCCCAGCTGGATGTCTGCCTGGCCGAGGCCACCCTGGCTGGCTCAGCAGGTTGGGTGCATCACTAGTCGGAGAGGCCTTGCGTGCATGGCGAGGGGCTGTGGGAGCACAGAACCACAGGCGCAGGAAGCTGCGGTCCCACCCCTGCTGCAACTCTCTGGGTGGCCCCAGCGTGCTAGCCCTCCTTGCAAACCTCCGCTTCTCCCTCTGAAGGCGGGAGGTCTGAAAGAATAAACAATGAGAGTTGTATTAAAAACACAAAACCCTGCGGCAATACTGAAAAGTGATTCTCAGCACTGAGGAAGAGCCTTTAGCTTCCTGGGGGTGAAGAGCAGAAACTGTATATTACTCGGGAGCACATTATGGTGGCAATATCCTGGTAGTGTCAGCAGCTACAATTACTTACATCTGTTCAATACTTCACAGTTTATTAAATATAATTTTATATAGAGAAAGTCTCATTTGTTTCTCAGAAAAGCCTGGTTAGGAAAGCAGATGAGGCAAGGTCTTCATTTCACAGATGAAACTCCTGGGGTGTCGGGGGCGGTGTGACCGGCCCCTTGTGTCTGGGCCTTGTGTCCCGCAGACGAGGGAGCCAGGGCTCGGACAGAGGTGTTCTGACTTACAGTCCCAGTCGGTTACGGGTGTGAGAGATCTCCTGGTGGGGGGACCCAGCTTCCACGCTCATTCCCGCCTGTCATGAACCTCCAGGTCCCACCCATGCCCTAAGTGTGGGAGCCCAACCCCAATGCCAGGATGTGTGGTTAGCTTTGCTGGGCCTCCTCCTGTGCCTGGTGTGTCCTGCCAGAGCCATGTTGTGCTCCAGGCCTGCGGGGCTGCCGCAGCTCCCGCTGAGGAGAAGAACGGGCAGCGGCATGAGGTGGGCCTTCCTTTCTCCGAACGGCAGGCAGGGCCTGGCAGACAGCATTCACTAGGGGCCTGGCCTCTCGGCCAGGGCTCATGGCCTGTGCCTGTCCCTGAGTCGCAGTCTGCTATAAGCAGCCAGTTTCTAGAATGTTCTTTCCCATCTGAAGCCTGAGCGTATGACTTGCCAGCCCCACAGAGCTCTGCTCTTGCCCATCACGGGCATCTGAACTCGGGCCTGGGTTGGGGCAAGAAGGGGAACGAACATCTCCTAACCCAGCTCCGTTTGGTCCACAGATATCGAGAACCCTGACCCTGCCGTGTACCAGCTGAGAAGCCCTGAATCTAGCAACACTTCCATCTGCCTGTTCACCGATTTTGATTCTAAGACCAATGTGTCCCAAGCCACGGGTTCCTCAGTATTCGCCTCCAACAGCACAGTGCTGGACATGCAGTCCACTCACTCCAAGAGCTATGGGGCCCTGCACTGGAGTGACAAGGCTGATTTTGGATGTCAAGACACCTTCAGCGAGACCTTCTACCCCAGCTCAGGTGAGTGCAGCCTCAGTGCCTCTGCAAGCTGAGTCTCTTCACTGCCAGAGGCCTGGCATCGAGATGCTGCTGTGGCTGGTGACTTCAGCCTCACCAGTTGTCAGCAAAGCCCCCTAACTCTCTGCTTACTGAGCACCAATGAGTCCCATCCCAGCAGGCCACGGAGTGTCCTGGGCAGAAAGAGATGGGGAGAAGGTGGCGGGAGAGGGCACTGGCTCTCACTCAGCCTGAGTTCCCACGTCCCTGCCCCTGCTTGAGCTGATTGCCCCCCACTGTTTTTCCAGGCCCCATCCTAATGCCCTCCTTCAAGATCCCTCCTCCTGCCCCCCCCACCTCCCTGCTATGGAGGTCTGAGTCAGGAGCTTAGTGAGAAGAGGAAGAACAGTAGGAAGTGAGAGGGAAGAAGTAGGCAAGGGCCAGATTGGAGGGCCTCCCAGGTCCTGAGAGGGCAGACACTATTCTAATTACAGCGAGAAGCCATCATCTGGCTTTCAGCAGGGAAATGACATCTAATCTACTTTTGAAAAGAGTACTCTGCTGAGTGGAGATTGGACTACAGGGGCAAGAGTGGGAGCCGAAAGGAAGCTAACGCAGCAGAGAGAGGAGAGGGCCCAGCCCAGGGCAGCAGCAGGGCCGTGGGCGGCCACCGCTGGTTGGGGCTCAAGGGCAGAACCGTGGAGGGACGAGCAGGAGAAGAGGGTGTCGAGGGAGGTGCCTGGATTTCACGCCAGAGCAGCTGAGTTGACGGCAGTGCCGTTCACCGAGATGGAGAAAACCAAGGAACACATTTAGGGTGCAGGGTTGGAAACTTTGGGGACCACATAAAGTGTCTGCCCCCTCATGGCACATGTCACCACGTGTGTGTTCTAGCCTCTGCTGGGCTCCAGCCGGGAAGCTGCCCAAGGTCAGGGTCTGTGTCTCGTGGCTCCTTTTGGCCTGTGCCACGTCACACGAACTTTGCACAACCAGTGTGTGTTAATGAATGACGCGGCTCCAGGGCCAGGCGCTCTCCCCAGCCGGGGCCCTTTCTCAACAAGTTCGCTGCGGATCCTTCCATGATGACACGGGGGAAGGCTGCACACACTCACCTGCCTGACCCCCAGGACGTCTGGAGTGGGAGAGTCGGCACACTCTAGACTCTAAGAAAATTTCTTTTTTCTCTCCTTTTAGAATTTTCCTGTGATGTTACGTCGGTAGAGAAAAGCTTTGAAACAGGTGAGAGAAGGGTCTATCCTGGCTTTGCACAGGTTCTGGGGAGCAATGAACCCTCAGTAACCCTGCCTGGCTAGGGCAGGTGGGAGGGAATTGGTGGATCTAGGAGTTAAGTTACGAGAGAGAGGGGAACAGCAGTTCAAGCCCTGGTCACAGCTGCTTGCGGTCACTCTTGAATCCCCAGGGTCCTCTCATCATCTCTGAGTCTCTCGTTTTACACGGCCAGTGGCTCACTCCCAGGCTTCTGTATTCCTTTCAATAAGTCCACTGCCAGGAGAGCCAACAAGAGCTTCCGGGGAACCCGGCTGCGAACCCGGCTGTGAAATTTCCACGAGCTTACGAGCTTACGCATAGCCCTAAACTAACCAGGTCGCCCTGAGGACAGTGCCCTCCATAGCCACAGGGTTTTGCCTTCTTTCAAGAAAGCAGCAGAACTCATGTAGGTGGTGCCCTTATCTCTCAAGGGTCCCCGCCCCTCCTCCCCACCTCCCCCGGGCCCATACTCATTTCCACCTGAGCTGTGTTTGAGTCATCCCTCCTGTGGTTCAGCCACTAGATTCTCACGAAGGGGCCCAAACCCAAGGGATGGCAACGTTTTGAGCGCCTGCCTCATCCCCATCTGCTGAGGAGCTCGGAAATAAAATAAGGACTGAGTGCAGTGGGTGTTTTTCTTTTGAAATGAAACACTGTTGAGCCCGAGGGACGTGCACGGAAGTGCAAAGGCAGAGGGGGATCCAGGTGCCGGAGCCCACCCCACCCTGCTTTCAGGAAAACCTTGGTGTGTCCCAGGGTGCTGTGCAGACCTCAGGTGTGCATGCTTATAACCATGTTGGCCTCTTGGTTTTGTAGACATGAACCTGAACTTCCAAAACCTGTCCGTGATTGGGTTCCGCATCCTGCTGCTGAAGGTGGCCGGCTTCAACCTGCTCATGACGCTGCGGCTGTGGTCCAGCTGAGGTGGGTGGGCACAATGGTCGGAGGAGGTGGGCGTGAGGGTCTGGGGGGACCCCATGCTCTGGAAGCAAACCTGCCCCCAGAGTCTTCTTTTGTTACCATGTATGTCTGGGCACACCAAACTCCTCCACTCTTTCCCATTGGGAGGTCCCCCTCATAACAATGGCCTGCAACATTTGTACAGCACAATCCACTCCCTGGGTGACAAGAGTCACCTTGGTCAAGTCAAATCTCCTCCACAAAGTATAAACAATTGCTATTATCCTCATTTTGGACATGCAGAAACAAAGGCTAAGTAACATCAAGAGCCACACACTAGTGGGTGAAAAACAGAGAAATTTGGGGCCCCAGCTCACACTGACACCTGCTACTGGACCCTCTATCCTGCCTTCTGGGGTATCCCTTTCCTTGAAAAATCTGCTGGGGCTCCCAGGTCCTTCCCTCATGTCCTGTGCCTCCAGTATCCTGAGAAGATGCCATGCTCATTACACCCCAGTCCTGGCTAGAGTCTCCATACCCGTTTCCCCAGGGTCCCTGGGCAACCTGCTGGCAACTGCATCTCGTCCCACCACCATCCCACCATCGTCAGAAAGGACTCCAGGGTGCATTCACCCCTAGAACTCCACAAATGGAGGCATCTCCATCGCATCCCTAACTGTCCTGGGGCTGTCTCCTCGGTATCTAGCCTGACTTCTGTTCTTCCTCATCCCAGGTCACCAAGAACGTGAGAGCCCAATGCTCCTCGCTCCTCGCTCCTCCCCACCCACCTCTCTCTCAAGCAGAGAGGTGCACTCTCGGCCTCCAAGGAGGAGAAGTCCCCCTTCGCCTCTGTGGCCCCTCTGGCAACGCCACCAACTGGACCCTACCAGATACTTGTGATCAAGATGCTGACGAGCTGCCAAACTCTGCTGCCACTCCTGCCATCCCCTCGTTGCTGCTTGTCACCACCCGACATTCCCAGGGAAGGCAGGGGCTGTGGCAGCCCCTCCTGGCTGTGGGACCCCCCACTCCTCCCAAGGCTGCCTCTGATGTCTCACTGGGCGATGGATCACTGGGGGGTGGGGGGTCTCTCGGGTTCTAGCTCCTAGAGAATGTTGTGAGGAGCTTATATTTTTTATATTTTTAAAAGTGTTCATGAAAAAATGCATATCGCCCTTTCCCCCAAGATGTGGGGGAAATTGCCCCCTGACCGAGGCCCTGCTGTGCTGCGCGTGTGAGCCGCTCGTGCCTGCTGCTGCCCCAGCTTCATTAAAGTGGTTTGGAAGAGCCGAGACTGTGCTGCCATTTCACTGGGTGTGGTCGGGGTCAGCTCGCCTCGCTGTTGGTCACGAGCTGGGCAGAAGGGAACCGAGACACCAGTCCACAATGACATTCAGGGAGCATAACTCAGCTAGCTGCTCAGGTCAACCTCTTCCTGGAATAACCTCTAACACATTCCACTTGGAAGGCAGTGTCGGGGCCCAGGCAAACCCACTTAAAAGCTTGAGTCCCTGCTCTTCAGTTTTCACCGCCGGGCCAGTGTGGCAGGAGGCCCGTGTGCATGGGTGGTAGCGACCTGTAGCTGTAGCTGAAATCTGGCAGACAGGGACCACACAGCAACATCCCCCAAATGCCACCCACTGCCTCCTGTCCCCCAGGGCATTTCCCCTGTCTTTCCTTTCAGATGGGATTCCAATAGGCCCCACAGATTCATGGCTGGGGCCCACCAACCAGCTGGGTCCCAACCCAGTGCCCAGCCCCTTGGGGTGTCCAATGTAGCAGTGGCTGGGGTGGTGCGGGGGTTGGCAAGGAGGTTGTGACCTTAGCTTGACTTTACACTCCCACCATCCTGGACGAGAAGATAAGGAAGGGGGGGGGGGGGGGCAGTGAGCTCTCTGTCCTCGAGCTCAGGGACCAGGCCAAAGAGAGTGGATGACTCAAGCCCACCCTGGCGGATGGGAGGTGGGTTCCCTGGGGTCCCGGGAATCTCCTGAGCCACCTGCTGCCCGAGCACCTTTCTCCATCTCACGGGTGCTGACAGGAACGCCCCTCAGAGATCACTCAGCCATCCCCCTCACCATCACTGCCATCAGCACTAAAGCCTAGTGCTTGCCAGTTCCCAGAGGTCGGAGGGCATCCTGTCCTCAAATGCCTCTATGGTCACCTGCGTGTCTCTGACTGCATCAGCCAGAAACATGCAAATCCTTCCAGTGACCACTCAGGCCTGCTTCTTTTCACAGTTTCGGAGCCACCTGCTCAATAGGTGACCAAGCACACCCCTCCCCTCCATAAGCTCCCGGCTCACCACCTATAAAGTGTCACTTGGGACTGGAGGCTGCCTCCAGCTCCGTGCATCTCTGATTCTGTGGCGGCTGTGGAGCTCAGAAGCACCGTCCATGTCCTGGCCAGCCCTGCCCAGCAGACTCACAATGCCCAGTTCTCTCCAAGCCGCTTCATCAGCAGCCAAAATACCAGCCCCTTTAAAGATCACTACTAGGAAAGGTCTCGGCAGAAATCCCATCACAGCGGCTCCCTCACACAGAGGACAGGAACCTCCTTCCCAAAAGCAGGATCCGCTCCCTGTGGGGAACACAAAACTGCCTCCTCCTCAGGCTGGCGCCTTGCCAGAGACTCCACCACTGGGGATTTCTTTAATGAGTCCTCTTCCCCACGTTAAATGAAAATGGCCCCAGGGGGGCTCACAGAGCAAAGCGTTACCAACCCTTAAAAACTTAGGACAGACTAGTTTCTTTTTCTCCTCCTAAAGTGATACTTCATTTTGGTCTGTATACAAAAGACCAGGAGGTAAGGGACAAGTAGGTAGCCAGGGAGGTGAGAGCTGGTCGCAAAGACACTGAGTCTGAAGGGAACCCAGGGGCTTGGGGCAGGGACCCTGGATGGTAGCCAAGGGGACAAAAACAGACCCCTCCAAGAACCCTGGAGGGGCCCAGGCTGCAGGGGCCAAGGGAGCCTGAGGGGCAGGCGGGCCCAGGGCCATCAGACAGCCGGCCCCACAGTTGCTGAACTCCAAGGCCACCTGAGGACCTAGGAAGTGAGGCAGTGAGGCACCCTGGCCCACCCAGGCCCACCCAGGCCCCGCCCAAGCCGAGGTGGACGAGGCCTCAGGCAGGCAGGAGGCCATCTGGACCTCAGGCTCAGCACGGCCCCCTAAGAAGTTTCCATCTCAAACCAGGGGGTCCTCCATCCCAGAAAATCTCTCTCTCTCCAGTCTGAAGCCGAGTCAGAAAGCAGGGCCAAGAGTGACTGGCTGTGCTGTGGGGGAGGGGTGTGGGGGGTGCAGAGATGCCACTCAGCTCAGTCCACTCTGTTCTCACGTCTGGCCCAGGCCCCGCCAAGGATGTCCAGGGGCATTAAAACAGCTTTGTGAGAAGGCCCAGGGGAAGGGGTGCTAGGGCCACTGGGAGGGTCAGCAGAGCCCCCTCAGTGCAGTAGGGACCAGGCATTGTTCAGCCTGGAGGGGAGAGGTCGCTGAGGAAACCTGAAGACACAGCCACCAAGGCCCCACGGAGGCCCCACCGTGAAGAGCCTCAGGCCCCATGGGCAGGGACCTGCTCTGAGGAGGGGAGGCTGCCGCCCCAGCCAAGCACGAGTCACCAAGGCCAGTTACAGAGTGGGTTTCTCTGGTCAGAAGTCTACTGCCCCAAAAGGCTTAACCTCAGGCCAGCCTGGAGGCAGAAGAATGGACCAAATGACCTCTCAGGAGCACAGGCCTAAGGCACTCTGACACTTCATCCAGACACCTGCCCTCTGCGCACGGCTGGAAGTACAGGCCAGTCAAGAGAAGGGCGGGCTAAGCAAGCACGTGCTTCAGGAGGACCTGAGTGAGGTCTTCAGACCCTCTGCCCAGCCTTGGAGAGGTGGCCACCTGGGTCTCGAAGGATCGTTTATCGTACTGGTTTGCCAATAGAATTTAACTCCCTAGCGGTACATGGAAAGCCCTTTACAGATATCGCCATAGTTGTCAGGTAACATCTCGGCAAGAAATTCCACCACACTGTGTGCACTTGGGATGGGATGTGTGCCTTAGTCATCCATGTGTCTGCAACACCTAGCACAGTGCCCAGCACACAACACATGCTACATACACAATTAACCAGCGAAGGAATGAATAATGATTAGCGGTTGGGCACTGAGGAGGGAGCCAAGCCGCGGCCCAGGGAGCACAGGAGAAGGGAAAGTCGCCTGCCGGATGGCTCAGGTTGTTAGAGTGTCACCCTGATGGGCCAAAGTGTGGTCCCCAGTCAGGGCACATACAAGAAGCAGCCAGCAAATGCATGATAAATAAGTGGAACAACAAATCAATGTCTCTCTCCCCACCCCATTCTTCTCTCTCTAGAATCAATAAATTAAAGAGAGAGAACAGAAAGTAGGATTAAAAGAGGAGGTGGCCTGGTGAGCCTCTCTTTCACAGTTTTACCAAGAGCTAAGAGCAGGCTATCGAGAACTATCAGGAAAAGTAAAACCCCATTGATGGCCGCTCGGCCAGTGCAGCGCCCACGCAGGCTCCTCCAGCACAGCCCGGAGGATGGCCACTCTGGGGAAGCACAGAGGGCCTCGGGGAGCCAGAGCTCCATCCCGGTGGGACCAGGCCAAGGTCCAGGGCTGAAGGTCCTCTTGCCATCCCACCTCTCTTTCTCCCTGTCCTATCTTAACACCCCTCTTCAATCTGCCTCCAGGAGCACTGTGTGGGCCTGGGGGAAGCTAGCTGCCCACAGACCCAGGGCCGTCATTCTGTCAATAAGCACCCTGAGAGATGAGGCCACACGCCAGGACGCCAGGACCCCAGGGCCCGGCCTCCGTGGGAGGCCACCTGACTTACAGGCTTCACTTGGCCCAGACACACACACACACGTGTGGGTTCCTGTGAGTGTCACATGTAGAGCTACATTTTGAAATTAATAAACAGGTCAGACATTGAGTCAGGAGCCAGAAGTAGGACAGGAAGTGGAAAAAAGTCTCCCACTTCCCTCCAGGTGTTTGGGGGCTTGCGAGGGCCCCTTCCATTTCCATGACGTCATGGTTGACAAGAGGGGCAAATAGGGCACCCTTTGAAGCTCTCCCGCAAAAGCCACATCCTCTGGAAAGTGGAGTTAAAAATACCGAGTTAGAGATACCATCGCCCTAGGCCACGTGCCGAGGCCAGGCAGGCTGCGCCGTTACACCGCCAACCGCAGGTGCGACAGGAAGCCCCACCACCACCACCCACCGAGCCCCTGGGCTGAGTGGCAGCCCCGCCCGGCAGCAGCGGGCGGAGAGGTGCTGCACACCCCACTGCAGAGAGGCCTGCCCTGCCCCGCCTCTGCACCCCGCTCTGAACCAAGCCCTAAGATCAAACTTTGATCTCACCTAAACCCTTGCTTAATACAGGACAGGCCCTCAACGCCTATGTCCAGCCCACCTTCCCTCAAGTGCGGGGGCCATGGCTGCCCCACAAACACAGCTGGGGCTGGTTCTCCAGAGAAGGCCTCCAGTCCAGGCGAGGCAGGAGTGACGAGTGATGGCCGGGACTGACCTCTGCTTCTCAGAGACCAGAATACCAGAACGCAGGACACCAGGAGGCAAGGGGCCTAAAAGCTGAGGCCAGAATCTAACGCCCGCAAAACCCCCGAGCTGGACTTCCTGCACTGTGGTAGTGTCCTTAGCCATCCACCTGGGGGCAGCAGCGCTCCACCAAAGAGGCCTCTTTTTCCCTTAGGCTGTCTGTTCATTCTGGGGATGGAAAGCCCCCAAAGCTTAGGAAACCCTCTTTTCTCTTCCTAGGAAAAGAAAAAAGCATGTGGTTTTTATTCTGCCAGGCCCTGTCCTTTGCCAGGCACTGCATGGGGCTCCCGCCCGTGTAATCCTCTCACATCCCACGGGGGAGGGAGGGGTCTGGATCAGGCCCCGCAGGCAGCAGGCAGGGGGCACTACCTGCCCAGGATTTCCAGGCTTGCTCAGACAGGAGCGCTGAGGAAGGGCCTGGGAGCCCTGCTGCCTGGGGGAAGCAGAGCCACAATCAAGGAGCCTGGGCTGGGTTCCAGGATCTACCCCTTTCCTTGGCTTGTGCCCTGGGCAGGTCACTAGGCCCACGGTCTCAGTCTCCTAGTGGGGTCAATGCTCTCTCACGGGGCCGTAAGAAAAGGTTCTCTTTCACACTGCATACCAGCCACCTGCCAGACACCGGGCTTGGCTCTGGACCCCCATGCAGTCTCTGTGTGAACTCTGGATGAACTTCACACAGATGAAGTTCAATAACAGGCAAAAGGAACCACCAGTATTGGTTGCCT